CGCGCGCGCACAACCGCCAACCAGCCAGCCGGAGAAGCGAGGAGAGGAGACGACATGGCATCCCCACGCCGCGGTCCGCCAGCCGCGCGCGGCCCCAGCTTATTAGCACAGAGGGGACCCCCCCAATCCGCCGTGCCACAAGGGCACTGCCAGGCAGTGAGGCCGAGAGGCCAAGAGGCGGAGAGGCCACGAGCAACCTCCCTGGAGATTTTCCTGCCCCCCAAATCGCTACGCGATTTGGGGGCGATGAAAATCTCTGCGTGCGGTCAGCACAGAAGAAGCAGGCCGGCGCCCCCCGCACCTGCGTTGGGCTGAGGAGACACACGGCGCCGCCAGGCTGGTCCCGACTGGAATACCCCAAGGGCCCACTGCATCCAGGAGGGCCGAGGCTGGCGGCAAGGAGCCGAAAGGCACCGTGAGAGCACAGGTGCGTCTCGCACGCTCTTTTTCCAGACAGCACCCACTGCATGCGAGCGTGCCTAGCCGCTCTCGCCGCCACTCGAGTCCGAGTGCTCCACCAGCCACTCCGCGGCGGCCACTTCGCCTCGGGCCTGCGCCGTAGCATACCCAAACGCAGCGAGCCCCTTCCAGCCGCCCGACCAGAACAGCGCAGACACGCCGCCGGCCCGGAGGGCATCGTTTGCGAATCCTCTGCGAAACGCGTGAGTGCCCCAGTGGAGAGCCTGCGGCAAAGCTAGCGCCACTGCACCAGCTTTTAAGAAGGCCAGCGCTTCAGAATACGAAATATGCCCAAATGGGACCGCGTGCTCCGCGCACGCCTCCTTCAAGGCACATACTCCGCATAAGATTTCTGCATCTCCAGAGCAGACGCACTTTCTCGCGACTTCAACGGGAACGCGGTAGCTCTTCCTCCGAGTGAACGTCACCGTGCACTGAGAATGACCATCGCGGCTGCTGAATTGAAAGGACGCCTTGCCTGAACCCAGAGCCAAAGTTTCGGAAGAATACCTCAAGCAAAAGTGGCGCGACACTGCCCAAGACAGGGCCAGATCACGACGCCCTGAGCGCGACGCCCACTGCATGAGCGCGCGTGTCTGCGACCCCGATGCCCAAATCTTCGGCCGTTGAAAAGCTGCACCAGCTTTTTCTGCTCCCCTCACGAGCCTCGCCGTGTCCGAGAGCTCGCCGGTTGATACCCGCAGCAGGTGGAGCACCGAACGAATGTGCGACACATATCGGCCCAGAGAGGCACTGCTGCGGAAGAGACCTGAGAAGACGCAGACCGTGGAATGCCCAGGTGGCCACGGCGCCTCTGTACTGATGGCGGCCGCCTCACCCCAGAGCTCTACTGCGCTGGCATACTGCGCGGCACTGCGGCGCCACCCACAGAATTCGAGCCAGACGGCGCGGATCTCGAACTCCATGGAGTCTGCTCCCGAATACCGCGCTCGCTTTGCAGCAGCCCGGGGCAACACTCTGTCTTCCTCGAATGGGGAATCCGGCAACTTCGCCATGTCTCTGACAGCGCCTGCGAGCACCGTAGGCCCAAGCACCTGCCCACTGCGCCGCGCGTGCGCCAACAGCGCCAGAGCTGCCATACCTCTCTCGGCAGCACCGTCCTGAGCACCACGCCCGCGGACAAGGCCATGTGCTGGGGTGCTGCCGCTTTCAGTCTGCTCTGCAGGACGCGCAGCAGGCAGCGCTACAGAGGCCGCCCGGAGCTGATTTTGCCGCCGCTCCACCTCGCATAACTGCAGAAATCTACTGAGGAAGTCGCGCGAACACCCAGACAGAGGCCGCCAAACGAGTTGCGCCTCCTCAGGACCAATATCGCAAAAATCCTCTGCCCGCGACGCTCCGGCAGCCGCCAAACCAGAACACAATGTATCAATGGGCGCACCGGGCGGAACGACTGCGGACACTTGCCTGAGAATACGAACCAAATTACCTGAAAACGCAGCTGGCACCTCGGCCACTGCAGGATGGGCGGCTTGCGACGAGCCTGATGCAGCAGCAGCAGCAGCAGCGGCCCTGGCCCGGCTCTCATCAACGAAATTAAGCATTGAGCGGAACTTTCAAGCTTGCGCCAAACAGGCTACGGAGACAGAGCCGCGATCTTGCGCCGCAGTGCTGCTGAATGTGCACGATGTACGTACGTAAACCCATCGATCGATATGCCGCCTTCCTAGAAAGGAAACGCCTGAAGATCACGCTCTGCTGTTCCTTGCCAGCGCTGCAGACTGGGAGGCAGCATGGTTTCCACAGCTTCGATCCGAAAGCCAAAAATACCGCGTAGACTCCGGCCCCAGCCTCTTGGGGCTTCTCCTGGCGCAGCAGACCAGACTAAGGCGACACCAGAGGACGGTGACGTGGACGCATTTTTTTTTTTTTCCACCACGCAACCGCCGGGCCGAAAAATTAAGACTGCCAGGGGGCATCCGGCGGGACACTCCATGGCACTTCTGCGAAACCTGCTGTTTGCATCGCCTCCAGCGCTGCATATTTTTGCTGTGGCCTCGTAGGCGCATCAGCCAAATTA